ACGCTTCGCGGAAGTATGGAGTATGCATCCTGCAGGAAAGGGTCGTTTGGACATCGAGCCAACGGAGACTACCCGGAGACGTACTGTGTACGGAAGCTTACCTCCAGGAAAAAGTTTGTGCTCGCTATGCTGGCATGGTGGACATTGGAAGAAGGAGTGCAAGTTCCGCCAGCTATGCTTCTGCCTGTACGAGCCAATGCTCACGATACTGGATCGCGGAAACAAGACGAGGCGACTGTATCCGATTCGAGGAATCACTCGTCCCGGATTCCAAGGAGATACTACGAATCCGTACAAAAGGTTTCTCCCGATGCTCGCACTTTGCGACTTTGGGAGTATGTCCAGGGAAGTCTCGGAGAGTAACAAGCGATACTGGAAGCAGGCAAAGGATGAAGGAGACTTTCCAGTTCTGTATCGAGAAGAGCAAGCCAGCCGGAAGAAGGAAGCAAGCCAGGCAGCTACAGCAAAGAAGAAGGCCAAGCCAGAGAAGCCCAGCATCTGGACAGCCAAAGAGGATGAAAAGAATGTGGTGGTTTTGGACGAGCCTAGCCCGGAAGCACCAACTCGAGAGGAGCTTCGGCAGAAGTACGAAGAGCACCACAAGGCCAAGCTACGCAAAACGTTGGAGTCGCGTGAAGCAAAGAAAATCTTGGATGCCCCGGAAGCGGATGCAGGAAAAGATCAAGAAGTTCCAAAGGAAGCCGTTCCGGAAGAATCTGCAGTACCAGAAGCACCCGCAGTGCCGGAAAAGACGCCTGTCAGGGACACCATGGACGAAGCAGGCAGTGACAGTAAGATGTCGGATGAGGCCAGCGAAAGTGAATCCCCTGTGGAGAATTCGGAGTCGTCGGAAATCGACGAACCAAAACGCCGTAAGACCGCTAAAGAAAAGCAGCAGGAAGAAGCTGGAAGAAGTGAACCAGCAGAGCAGATCGACAAGAATGATCTGTGAGGCGCTTGAGCAACTCGCTGCCCAGTGTACGAAGTTGCGTACAGCAAACGCTGTGCCTGTACTGATAGCACTTCTGCTTATCTGGAGTTGCGGAAGAATGCAAAAAGGAGTGACACGCAACAGGGATATCGGCACACATCTACCTTGTATGCGAAGGAAAGTTAACCGGATGCATGGTATTCGTTGGAGACGTAAAGTGAGTGGATGCAAGCGGAAATTCAGAGCAATGGTACTTGTTTGTTTGCTTGTCAGGACGGAAGCTATGCAAGGACCTCAAGCCGCACAACCATCATCAGCCGCCGGAGTGCCAGTACAAGATGGAGCAGATGGAGATGGATTAGGCATGGTACCTACTCAAGAGATACTTGGACAATTGGTCCAGAAGTCCAGAGTCACTACAGAAGCTATTCACCAGCTAGTTACCTATTCTGGAAACCAAGGAAATGCAGGAAGTTCGTATGAAGGAATACTCTCTAAGGCATTGGAAGGTGCAGTGAAGATGTTGGGAAGACCACCATCATTTGGTGGAGGTAAAACCGATGCACAGGATTTCATGGACTTCAAAGAACAGCTTTATAATATTCTTGCGTATGCGGAACCCAAGTATTCGGATGCCTTTAAGAACTTGGAGAAGTTGGGAGACCATGAAGTACTACCAGCTACTTTCTCGGATGAAACGTATCAGACTATGTCAACGAAGCTGTACTCGCTATTGAATTCTTGGTTGTCAGGAATCACGAAGCAGCATGCACGAGATCCCAGTATTGCTGGATCCCGGAATGGATTTGCTTTGTGGAAGTCATTGCTGAGGATGTATCAGCCGAGTACGAGAAGTCGGAGTCTAGCTTTGATGCAAGCGATTCATGGATACCCAAACTTTTCACCCGGACTAAGTGCTGTGGCACATATTTCGAAGCTGGAAGAACTAGTCAAAGACTATGAGAGATGTAGTGGAGTGAGCTACCCTCGAGAGATTCTCCTGTCGACTCTCTTGAGATGTATTCCTAGTCAATTGAAGGAACACATCCATCTTCAGCTTACGGATAAAACAACATACAGCCAGGTCAAAGAAAGCGTACTAGTCTACGAGCGGACTACGAGAAGTTGGATGCCGAACCAAGTATATCAACCCCTTGAATCAGGACATGGTCAACAGTACCTAGGAGCAGTAGAGAATGCCCCTAATGGTGGAGGACATCAAGCAATGGAAGTGAACAGAGTAGAGTACAAAGGAAAAGGATGGAAAGGAAAAGGCGGAAAAGGAAAAGGCAAGAAAGGCTATGGCAAGATGTTTGGAGGATTCGGAGCCATGCAGGCAGGTAGAGGATTCAGCAGGTTTGGTCGAGGTAGAGGAAAAGGCAAAGGCCGAGGTAAAGGTAGAGGAAAAGGTAAAGGTAAGAAAGGTGGAAAAGGCCGGAAAGGCAGAGGAAAGAGTAAAGGAAAAGGAAAGAAAGGAAAAGGAAAACGACTTGGAAGGACAGTTTGTAGACTTTGTCATCAGGAAGGACACTGGGGAAATGAATGCCCCAACAGACATTCTGTTCGTAACGTGGAAGCCGAAGAACAGTCCCAAGCGGAAGCGTATCCCAACAATCCACCGAACCAAGAACCTTACCCGAAGCCTAATGTGGTCGAAACTGGTAGTATTCGCCAGACGACGAGCCGACCGGATCCAAGGATCGTCACCCGGAGAGTAGGAGTGTCAAGTGGATCAAGTGGATTCAACCCAAAACCATTTTACCACATAGCTACACCGCCAGAAGAATATCCGGAGACCTTCCCAATCAACTCAGAAGATGAGTCCGACATTGACATCACGTATGTCAACACCATCCGTATGGTTCAAGATGTTGCAGATGAAACTGCAGAAGGTGAAGAAGTCACCAACCCATTTTTCGGTGAACTACCCAGTCCAGGTTTTACAGACTCAGATGAGGAACTTGGATCTGGAGAACCTACTGGAATTTGCCAAGGTTGTGGTACACGCCTGGAACCGGTGTGCAAACCAGTTGCGCCACCGACAGAGTCTGGAATCCCACGAGTACCAGAACATTATCCAGGAGAAGAACACTATCTGAGGCAACAGAGGAAGCTGAAAAGTGAAGGAAAACCTTACGACAAGAAAGCCATCGATGATGCGGTGAAGCGAGAGAATGAGTGGATCGAGTCTCACCTCAAAGCGACGGAGGAGAAAAAGGAGACCGAGACTGATAAAGTTCGAATGGTTCGTGAAGAATTCCATGATGTAGCAGAGTGGTATGTGATGGATGCAACGGATGAAGACGGAGACTGGTTTGTTGTAGACAACCACGAAGTAGTTCGAGCAGTTCAAGTAGAAGAGACTGTACCCGAAGAAGCACTTGAGATTATCATTTTGGATTCTGGATCGGATGCTAGTTTGTTACCTAGGTCACATCCGAAAGCGACACGCATGAACGCAGGAACAACGGGTATCATGCTAGAGGATGCCCAAGGGAATGCAATTAGGTCAGCAGGAATGGTCACGGCAGTGATCGCAGTGGAACAAGGAGAGGACTGTTGGACAGCCCCCAGTATTTCGGAAAGCTTTATTGTAAGCGATGCGACAAACATTCTGTTGTCGATGGGAAGACTGCTGAAGAATGGCTGGAAACTGGAGTATCAGCCAGATGTACCTGAGGGTGAGAAAGCTCTTAGTGTTCAGTGGAACCTTACAGTGTCGTCAATGGTTTTGGTTAGCCCGGATGGAAGAGCGACCGCAAGGATCTTTTACAAACGGAACAGTTGTTGTTTGTTAGGTAGATTGTCTGTTGTCGGAAATGATCGTAACGCCCGTTGGACGGGAGGAACAGGTCGGAGCGATGGAAGCTCACGAAGTAGCACTGACAGTAGGACTGCAGTGGAGAGGAGCGTCACCGTACGTATTCCAAGCTATCTACGGGAACTGTTGGACAGTACACCCAGTGGAAATTGGACGATCGTGGAAGACGGTACACCGTTTATTTTGTATCAAGGAACGACTTATATGGATCCGAAGGATGCTTTCCCAGGATGGAAGTACAGGACGACAATGATATCAGAAGGAGGAAGTGAATGGTCACTAGTCGAGTTGTACTCGGACTATGGTTCTATCAGGAGCCACAATGTGGAAATTGCAGAGTGTCATGGGAGACCAAAAAGGATCTGTGTTATCCTACATGCAGTGAGTGGAAACTTTTTCACTTTCTGTCGGGACTTTGAAGCGACCATGGTCTCGAGAGGACCAGAAACACCTTTTGCTAGAGGTGAAGGAAGAGTTCCAGAAGAGCTTAGTACACCGGTGGTACCGGTAAGTATCGCCCCTGGAAGGAGCGAAGGAGTATTGGGACCAACCTACGATGGAGACGGAAATCCGTTGTCAGAGTTGGAGATGCAGAAATCTGCACAGAAGCTGAAGAACTTCCTCCGAAGGAGGACGGATTTTTATTCTCAAGTCTTGTTTTCAACAACTTGGTTTTTCCAACCTTGGTTGTTTTCCATCCTTTTTCATGCCGAACTTTTCCCAAGCTCTTTTTTCCAGTCGCCTTTTCGGCTTCAGTTCACTTTTCGAGTGAGGCCTCTAGAGTCCCGTCGCTTCTTTCTAGCGAGGTTCAAGCTGCTAACTTCAAGGCTTTAGCTTCGTGCACGGTGCCCCCCGAAGGGGTGCCAGATGGGAACGAGGCCTCTTGATTTGCCTCTCTCTGAGCCTTCCAGTGCCAGCAGTTCCTCTGGCTCCGCCTGGGAAGCGATAAGCTCACATCTCCACACTCTTCAGCTTGAATGCAACATTGTGGAGAGTAGAGTGCGAGTGCTTGAAGATCGTTTGGAGCTCTTGGAAACTCAGGCACAACAAACTCAGGCACGGGTCAGCTTGTTGGAAGGCTTCTTGCGCCTGCTCAGGCTTTGCTGCCGTAGGCTGGCCTAGGAAGGCATCTTTTGCAGAAAACTTGGCAACATGCAGCCTCAGTCTCTTTCTGCTGGGGGCTCCTCGACTTCAGCTTCATCATCAGGCCCAGGGTCTCGCTCTAACCTCCTTAAGAGCATAGATCGTATGCTGCTTGAGTCCAGACACAGTGTCGCTGGCTCCAGTGATCTGGAGCTGCCCTGGGAGTCAGGCATTCTTAAAGAGATATTCTGCCCGGAGCATGCTGCCCCAAGCATTCCGTCAGTGAAATTTCCTTTTGATATTCCCATTTCTTCAGCTTCGAGCCTGGGTGAAGCGGAGAAGCTCGCAAAGCCGGAGCCTCGATCCTGCAGCTTCTTTAAAGCCGTTTCTCAAAAGGTCAGAGTGGTGAAGGCTCCGATCAGCCCTCTTGATAAACGTGAGCTGCTTTGCCAGAGGTTCCATGTGTTGCTTTCGCACTCTTATTCGGGTTCTAGGCTAGGGGGGATACTTGCCAAGGAGTCTTTTGAGAAGGGAACGCAACTTGTCTCGGATGCACTTGGGGGTAAAGCCCTGTCTACCCTCCAGAAAAGGTACGGGCAATTATCCAAGTATGTCACTTGGTGCAACGACACAGGATGCATAGGCTTCCCCCTTTCTTCGGATCTTGTTCGGCAATACACCGAGTTTGCAGTGAAGACCAAAGGGCATGGATCAGTGTCCAGCAACCTTGAGTCTTTCAACTTTGCGATCTATGTCCTTGGTGTTTTCATTAATGAGCCTCTCCGGTCTGACCCGGTCCTGACAGGACGTGCTCGTCGCGAGAGATTGAACAAGCCTCCCAGGAAGCAGGCTCGCTCGTTTCTCGTTGCAGAAGTGCTTCACCTCGAGGGTTTCCTTGCATCCGAATCCAATGCGCTTTTGGACCGGTTTGCCGCTGGTTGCATGCTCTTTGCGATTTTTGCCAGGGCGAGGTTAGGCGACTTGAAGTCCGTGTCAAGGTTCACGCTTGACCTTGCAGAACCATCTGCAGACTGCGCCGAAGGGTTCTTGGAGTGTTACTCTTATAGCCATAAGACTAAGTCTCTTAGCAATGCGCTCGGCTTCAGGTTGCCTCTTGTGGCTCACGTTAAAGGACTGGGGCCTCGCATCTGGGGACTTGACTTCTTGGAGGTTGCACGGCAAGTGGATCAAGCCACCATCGCAGCTTGCCTGCGTACGGTATTATTTTCACGTGGAAAGTTTGATTTTGAACTCTTATTTCAAAATCAACGCTTGAGTTTTCAAACGTCTCTTGATGTCAGTCTGCAACTGTTGAGCCATGCGAAGATGCGAAATTCCAGTTGCCGTTGTGCTCTGAGGTAGAGCGCAATTTTTGTTTTCTGTTGAGCCTGGAGTCCACAGAGGTCCTGAACAGGTCCCCACTGACGTTGCTCTTAGAGCGCTGTGCACGCCAGCCTCGCGTGGCTGGTAGATGGACGTTGGCCCGGCCGGCCCGGGTGCGGCGTCAGAGTCTTCATCTGACTTCGAGGCTCTGAGTTCTCATTTGGCAGAGCTCCAACAGCAGGTCGACCGTCTGCAGGCTCGTGTGTCTGCAGCTGAATTGGAGCTTGGGGCTGCCTTGATCGCGCAGCGTCAGCAAGAAATTCGTCTAACTTTCTTGGAGCGTTTTGTGCATCGCTGCAGACGGATTCTGGTTTCTCTGTGTGACCCCGAGGGTGAGTCGCTCTGAGTTCGCCAGCTGCAATGAGCGGGCATTCTGCTGATTGGGATTCTCAGGCTTCCAGCAGTTTTCAGGTTGTGTCCGCCTCTGCTGCTGCTTCCGGTAGCGCAGGGGGTGTGGCGGTAGCAGCCTCAGAGGCAGACTTGTCAAACCGTCAAGAGAGCATGGATGTGCCGGCAGCAGCTTCAGAACCCGACTTGTCAAAGCTTCAAGAGACCATTCGCGAAGCAATCTTCTCATGCAGTGAGCCTCAGGTTCTTCAGTTGCCTTGGGAAATGCCGGGTTTGAATTTGATTTTTGGCAAGGGTGCTTTAGATCAGCTTCTGCCTGCTGAGCCTCCCAAAATAGTGTTCCCAGTCCCTACAGCGGCAGATGCTCCGATTGAGGAACAGGCCAAGGCTGCAAAGAGGGTTAAGACGGCCGCTTTTGGGCAGCCTTGCTTCCGTGGGTGTGTGAACTTCAAGAACGTTCTTTCGGATGCTGAGCTTGAAGCTGGAGCCTGGCAGAGATCTCTTGAGAAGTGGCATTTTCTTTTGACCTTAGATCCTTCGGTTTCGCTTGTGGGTTCTTCCTTGGCCGGCATGGGAACTGCTGATGGCATGCAGTCCCTACGCGAACTGTTTGGCAGGAAGAAGGTAGCCACTGTGAGTAAGCGTGCAGCATCTTTGCTTAAGTACGTAAAGTTCATGCAGGAGTGTCGGCCCTTCTCAGGCCCCTTTCCTTTTTCCACCGAAAAATGTGATGAGTATGTCAGGCACTTGAGGGCTTGTGATGCCAAAGTCGGCGCTGTTGACGGGTTCACTGAATCGGTGAGATTCGCGATCCACGTTGTGGGAGTCAGTTGCCGCGGGCCTTCCGACAAGATTTTTAGCCCTTGGTCGATTGGTCTTAAAGGCCTCATGCAGTCGCAGAAGGCAGAGCGTGTGAGTGCACTTGTTTTGTCTGTGGAGCAAGTCTCTTTCCTCGAGGCGTGCTTGGGCAACACAGAGCTTGATGCCAAGGGCCGTTATGCCTGTGGCGCTTTCTTGTTCTGCATCTACAGCAGAAGCCGAGTCGGTGATGTGAAGAAGATCCACAGGTGTATAGTGGACACTGTGGACGCAGCTGGGGAAATTCAGGGTTTTCTTGAATGTGGTACTCGGGTGCACAAGTCCGCAAGGCAAGCAGCCGTGCAAGGAGTATCTATGCCTTTAGTAGCTCCTGTCTGGGGGGTTGGACCAGAGCCTTGGGGACCTAAGTTCGTGGCAGTCGCTGCTGAAGTGGGTTTAGCGTTCGACTCAGCTCGCGCGGGGCCTCTTCTTCCCGCACCGCTGGAGTCCGGCGAGTGGAGCCAGAGAGCAGTGACCACAGATGAGGCTGGGCAGTGGCTGCGTGCGTTACTCAGCCGATGCAACAAATGCTCCGATGGTGTGTCAGGGCATTCGCTTAAGGCTACCACTCTTGATTGGTGCGGCAAATTTGGAGTCAGCGAGCAAGCTCAAACCCTCCTTGGTCACCATGCCCTCAAGGGTTTGTCTATGTATGCTTATATGCGTGACAAGCTTGCGGCACCGCTGAGAGCTTATGACGGAATGCTCCGAAGCATTCGGCATGGCCTTTTCATTCCAGATGCAACTAGATCCGGGTTATTCAAAGCTGAAGGTGAGGCTCATGTCCTGGAGCCCAGCCACGAGCCCAGCCTCAGCACGGCCCCTCCTCACGTGCGTGATGGTAGGGTTTTCGGAGACGAGACTCCTGTTGGGTCTGAAGGTGAGGCTCAGCACTATAGCAAAGCTGCATGGACGCCTGAACGAGAAGCTCAGTCTTTCCTTGATAATCAATTCTCGGGTGAAGCTGAGGACGAAGTTGATGGAGTTGAGAGTCGGGCCCCTGAGCCCGCGCCAAGTTCTTCGTCTTCTTCATCGTCGAGCGACTCGGACAGTTCTGATGGGGAGCCTGGGACTGACTGGATCGATGCCTTCGATTCTGGGCTCGGGAATTCCCTTGAGAAGTCTAACCTCTCTGCGCCTGACATGGAATTTTGGAGACATGATAAAACTATGACCATCCACTCCATTGCGGTTGGTGCTTCTGGAGATGTGTTCACTTGTGGCCGTAAGAGAACAGGTGATTACTCAAAGGTGACGCAAAGCGCTTTTCTGGAGACTCGTCTCTGTGTCAATTGCAAGAAGAGCAAACCTTTGAGGGACATCGGATCTTTGAATGCTGTGTTGAATAAAAGCTTGAAGCGATGATTTCTATGCCACGGCCTGAGTTGCTCCACAAAGAGTGGTTGCCGGGAAGTCCGGCCGACTCCAGGTTGGGTGCGAGGTGCACCCAGCTCAGTCTGTCAAACAGTCGAGCATCCTTTTGGGCTGCGATGTGCGGCCCAAGGGATTCGTGGCCAGTTCGAGTGAGCCAATCCTGGACTCCGGGAGGTTCGAGGGCTCGAGCTGCGAGGTGCAGTGCGGGCAAAATTTTGCGGAGTGCGAAAGGAGAGCCAAATGGTTGCACGAGGCACCTGGGGGCTTGATCGAGCGTTGTGTCGAACTTGCTGTGGCAGCATATGCAGATTTCTGACTTGCGTGTTTTTTTTTTGCGCTCAAGATTTTTAATTTTCGGAACCGGGCAGATTGCGAGGTGCAATGGCGGGGTTGCCTGTGGCAACGTCCTTCACGGAATCCAAGCCTGCTTTCGCTAAGAGAGCTTTGGAGGTCGGGCTAGCGCAAGCCGAAGTGGACCATCTTGTCTCCAAACAGGTTGACACTCTCTCGAAGTTAGCTTTTGTCCTGGTTCCTCCTGGGAAGGTTCCTGAGGACAGTGCAGTCGTTGGGCTGCTCCCAGCAGGTTCAAGTCAGGGAGCCATAGCAGGGCTCAAGCGGCTTCTTTTCGAAGCCCATACATTGATTGTGTCAGCCCTCAAACAAAAGGTGGAGCGCACTGAGGAGTGCTTGCCTCTCACTCTTGACATAGCCGAGCGAGAAGATCGTTTGGTAAGCCAGAAAACACGTTTGGGCGGGTTGACATTTCAAGGTGAAGAGGAGGTTGCACATGGTGCATATGACCTTGTCTTCTCGATGGCCCAGAAGAACGAGCTCATTTGGTTGGCGCCTGAGAAGTTCAACACGCGGCGTGCAGAAATAAGTGCCAAGAAGCCTTCTAAAGAGCTCGTCATAGATGGGAGCGGCGTTGCGGTTAAGGATAAGCCCCAGGTCCTCAACTGTGCCATCAACTCTGAACTAGACTTGGTTTTGGCCATGCGCCGCAGAGCGCTTGCATTCGACCTTGTTGGGCTCATGAGTTTTGATGTGGCTAACCGCTATCATCAGGCACTTGTTCAACGTCTCCAGGAGGCTCCCCCTCCCAACTATGCCAAGGTCTCTATTGCTCAGGTTCTCCGCGCTGATCGAGCGGCATTCCTCCGGCTGGCAGAGTTGCTGCCCACTTTGCGCCGCAGCGGCGTGGGCAAACTTCCGTTGGACGAGCAGCTTCCCAACATCCTGCTCGACCCTTCAGTCGCTTACCACTTGTTTCCCCTGCCAGCAGGTTCAACCTCCACTGCAAAGTTGGATGACAAGCCCGATCCACCTACCAAGCGTCCGAATCCTCGCCTTCCGAACCCTAAGAAGGCCCCAAAGAGGTATGCTTTCTCGGTCCCAAAAGAGCTTGTTGGCAAAGCGCATCAAACTCCTAAAGGCCACCGTCTGTGCTGGGGTTTCAATTTGCCGTGCGGTTGCAAGGACGCCAAGCCTGGCGGAAAGTGCGCTAAGGGCCTTCACTTGTGTGCTGAGCCGGGATGCCTGAAACCGCATAGCTTGCAGGACCACTCTTGACAGTCATCAGGTCCTCCCTGTCAGGGCTTCGCCGCGTCAGACAGAACTGTTGCAGCTGAGGCTACTCTTCAACGACTTGAAGGGCAGCCTTTGAGTGAGGTCGTGACCGTGGAGGTCTTTTGCGGAACTGGGCGGCTCAGTGCTTCCCTTCGTAGTGAAGGTTTTGATGCCTTCGGTGTTGACCATGTGGTCGGCAAAACTGCATGTTGTTCAGTCCTTCAGCTTGATCTTACTTGTGAGGCCTCCATTGCACATCTGTGGAGCATCTTGAAGGATCCCGCTGTCAAATTCATTCATTTTGCGCCGCCCTGCGGTACCGCAAGCAGGGCCCGTGACATCCAGTTTCCCGGAGCCCCACCTGTCCTCCGCAATGAGAGCCACCCCGAAGGGGTTCCTGATCTTTCGGAGATCCCTGCACTTAGAGTGCAAAAGGCTAACATGCTGTATAAGTTGACTCTTGAGCTAAGTTCTTACTGTCTTCTGAACGGCAAATATTTTTCCTGTGAAAATCCGAGACGCAGCTACCTTTGGCTGCTTCCTCAGTGGCAGCAGTTCTTGAAGCGCTCGGATGTCTTTCAAACTGTCTTTCATCACTGTGAGTTTGGTGGCATGCGTCGCAAAGAGACGCTCCTGGTGCATAACATCCCCAAGTTCCGCGAGCTTCATCGTTTGTGCTCTGGCAAACATGTGCATCTGGGCTGGGGCAAGGTCGGCCGTACGTGGGCAACCAGCGCCGAAACGGCCTACCCCTGGGGCCTCTGCAAGTGCATGGCGAGCTTGCTGAAAGATCACTTTTTGGAACTTGGCTGTCGTCAATCTCCCAAAGCTATCGATGAAGGCGCACCAGCCATCCAAGGCGCGCGTGCTTTCACTGGAGCCCAGACTCGCAAGCGCGTGCCTCCGCTGCTTAGCGAATTCGCTTCGGTTCACACTGTCACTGTGCCTTCCAATCTTGCCGCGTCTTTCTTGCGTCCTGGCCAAAAGCTCCCGTCTCCGTGGAAGCCCGGAGATGATGCTGCTTGTTCTCCGGCGATCGAGTGCTTTCCGGCAGGCAGCCGTGTCCTTCGTGCCCATGTGGTGCGCAAGGGGATTGAGGTTGGCCCTAGTCCCACGGCTGTTTCCCCTAGTTCCGGTTTAGTCCCTGCAGCCCCTCGTGTGTTAGGAGCCGAGGGTTTTGCGAAGAGCAATCTGCTGAAGCCTTCTAGCAGAAAGCGTCCTTTTGCTAATGTTCTTGGATGTGCTGAGGCTTCTCTCGGTCTGAATCCTGACGATACCGAGGTTCGAGAAGCCATGATGTCGGGTTCTGCCGAGCGGGTTGCTTCGCTTGTGAACAAGTTGCCTAAAGTACACCGCAAAGACTTGTCCTGGTTGCTTGACTTGCTTCCTTCAGAACCTCTTCGTTGGGAGGGCGATGCTGGAGCGAAATCGTTCCAAGGTGGCAGCTTTGTTCACGGCCCGATGTGCGGGGTGCGATCAACGACCAAGCAGTTCCCGGAAACTGTCAAGGCAATGTGCTCTTATGTCAAAGGCCTTTTTCCAGGTTTGGAGTTCGGAACTGTTGGGATGTTCAGGGATGTGTCCGCTCAGCCCCACCGGGACTCGAATAATGAAGTTTCCACAGACAATGCGATTGCTGCGCTATCGGATTTTTCTGATGGCTCTGTGTGGATGGAAGATCCTGCGGGTGACGTCGAGCTTGAAATCAAAGGTCGCGCAGTGAGAGGTGTTTGCATTCCCGTCACCCATGAAGGCTTCAGGTTCGATGGCCGTCGCCTTCATTGCACAAGGCCTTGGACGGGCCGGCGTGACGTCATAGTTGCGTACATGCCGAGGGGCCCTAAGAAACTTAAAGCTGAGCACGCCTCTTTCTTGAAGAGCCTGGGATTTGTGCTTGATCGAGCGGCTTCGGGGTCCCAAGCCTCGCCTGGGGACATGACTAAGGCTGTCATTGGTGTGTACCGGACACCATCGCAGTTTGTTGAACAGGCAATTAAGGTTGGGCACCCCACGCAGCTCTCTGCTCTCATGCCTTCCGAGATCTCCTGTGCAGTCCGGAGAATCCATAAAGAAGGTGAGGCCAATGTGGCCAAGGAGCGCACCGCAACACTTCGCCGGTGGGTTAGCAGAGCAGCCGACTTAGAGCCAGCCGAGCGCGCGCTAAAGGCTGACCTTCCTCAGTTTCGAAAGGATGTTCTTAGTCCTAAACGCCTCGCTCTTTTCGAGGAGCTGTTGCTTGAAGTGGGACATGAGGACGTTGACCTTGTCAAAGACATTGCCCGTGGGTTTGACTTGACAGGCAAGCTGCCTAGATCAAATGTTTTCGCTAAGCGCTTTCGTCCTGCGGAGCAGAGTGAATCTCAACTTCGATCCAGCGCTAAGAGGCTGCGTGATGGTCTCCTGGCCACGATCAAAGCTTCGGAGGATCCTGTGATTGACCAAGGTGTTCTTAAGGCGACGACGAAGGAACTTGAGCGCGGCTTCGTTGACGGACCGTTGTCTCCAGACCAGATCCCTGAAGATGCGTCCTTAACCCATCGTTTCGGAGTCATTCAGGGGAGCAATGAAGACGGTCCAAAGGTGAGGCCCATAGACAATTACCTGTCTTCCCAAGTCAATGCCGCAGTCACGCAGGTTGAACAAGTCAGCGTGCACACCATTGATGTGGTGGCCGGGATGCTGGCCTGTTGGTTAAATGAGTGGTTCGTCAACGGGCGCCCAGAGCACAGCACGCCAGTGTGCAAGGCGTGGGACCTGCGCACCGCCTATAAACAACTCCCCCTTTCGGATTTAGCTTACGCCTTAGATAGTTTCTTTGTGCTCTTCAACATTGAGCGTGGGGCGAGCGAAATCTATCGCCAGCGGGTGCTTCCCTTCGGCTCAACAGCCAGCGTGACCAGCTTCATAAGAACGGCTTACGCCATTTGGAAATTAGGTGCCGTAGGGTTGACTCTTGTCTGGAGTGAATATTTTGATGACTATCTGAATCTTTGCGGCAAGGCTTTTGCTCGGCATAACGACTTTGTAATCTCCATGTTATTCCAACTGCTGGGATGGGAGATCTCGAAGGATAAGGAGCTCAGCTACGATGCACTTTGCGTCGTCCTGGGAGTGCAAGTGAACCTTCGTGATGCCAAACTCGGTTTGGCTTACTTGGAGAACACCGTGAAGAGGCGGACTGAGGCGTTGTGTGACATTGAGCGGGCTTTAGCAACTGGTAAGCTTGAACCTAAAGAAAGTGAAAAGCTAAGGGGCCGGTTGCAGTTCGCTTGTTGCCAAATTTTTGGCCGGCGACCAAAGGCGGCTTTGAAGTTGTTGTCGCAGCACTCCAGGCAACGCAGATGGGACGTCAGCCAGCTCACGCGGCTCGCACTCACTCAGCTGAAAAGTTTCCTTGAAAGTTCCAAGCCACGTCCAGTCAGGGCGCGGCGTGAAGACTTTGTCCATGTGTATGTGGATGCTTCCTTCGAGCCAAACGGCCATTGTGGTTTAGGAGGAGTAGTTTTCAGTTCTTCTGGTGAGGCGTTGTGCTGGTTTGGTCAAGCTGTTGCCCCAGTACATGTGCAGAAGCTCTTGAAAGCTGGTGACCGCGAAAGGGAGACAGTGATCTTCGAGCTTGAGGCGCTTGTGCTCAGCATTTGCCTCGAGGCCTTTCGCCCGTACGTCGAGCGGAAAGGTGTTGTCATTTTCACTGACAATGAGGGCGTGTTCGGAAGCTTCGTCAGAGGCCATAGTGACAATGCTTCTTGTGCTGCCTTGATCGACTTCTTTGCTTGCTGCGAAGAGAGCCTGGAAACGATCTGCTGGCTAGATCGTGTGCCATCATCTTCCAATCCTGCAGACGACCCATCGCGTGGCGTGATCATCCGAGGTGCACCACGTGTCGATCTTGACATGAATCTCTTGAGTCGCGCGCTTCCTGAAGTCTTTGGGTGAATGGGGTACATGTTCTCAGGGGGAAGCGGGATGTACCGCATTCACTTGGGATGTCCAAGAGTTTTTCCCTAGCTGAGACAATCGACGGATTCCCCATGCCACCTACGAGGAAAAGTCTTGTGCTGTCGAGTGAGTGCGTTGCGAACTCTTGAGATACGCAATTATGTTTAATATACAGATTGGAGAAATTCTGTTTTCATGATAAATATTTCTCCTTATAATTCGATTGATGCCAGCCGATTGAAATATGTTCTCCGTATGGCATCCATGCATTGTTCAGGTTCACGCGGTAACTTTACACAAGTGAAAATAAGCCACCATCGCAGCTTGCCTGCGTACGGTATTATTTTCACGTGGAAAGTTTGATTTTGAACTCTTATTTCAAAATCAACGCTTGAGTTTTCAAACGTCTCTTGATGTCAGTCTGCAACTGTTGAGCCATGCGAAGATGCGAAATTCCAGTTGCCGTTGTGCTCTGAGGTAGAGCGCAATTTTTGTTTTCTCCCACCCACCCACCCGGGGGGAAGCGGGATGTACCGCATTCACTTGGGATGTCCAAGAGTTTTTCCCTAGCTGAGACAATCGACGGATTCCCCATGCCACCTACGAGGAAAAGTCTTGTGCTGTCGAGTGAGTGCGTTGCGAACTCTTGAGATACGCAATTATGTTTAATATACAGATTGGAGAAATTCTGTTTTCATGATAAATATTTCTCCTTATAATTCGATTGATGCCAGCCGATTGAAATATGTTCTCCGTATGGCATCCATGCATTGTTCAGGTTCACGCGGTAACTTTACACAAGTGAAAATAAGACCTTCTTCAGAAGGACGATGGTTCCGCGCTGTTGTGTGTGCCCACGTCTGTGGGCTCTTTGCTCAACCACCCAATCAAGAATGAAGCCTTCGTGGTGTGGATCAATGGCATCCTTAAGGATCTCCCCTTCTTCGGAGGTCACTTCACCGGCCACACAGCAAAGTCTACCTTACTTCCTTGGTTGGCCAAATGGGGCGGCTCTGAGGATGACAGGGCCATTCTTGGGCATCACATGCCTAAGAGCAAAAGCGTAGCCACTTACAGCAGAGATCTTCAGGCTGGGCCTTTGAGAGTGCTGTGGTCTCTTCTATGTGACGTTCGGTCTGGAGCTTTCCTTCCTGATTGCACACGCTCTGGCCGCTTTGTCCGTCAAGTCGATGATCCAGGAGTAGAGCCGGCCCTTGATGCTCCTCCTGGTCTCTCTGATGGGGCCCTCAGCCCTGACCTCTACCTCGGCGCCTTAGGTGAGGTCCAGAACATGGGCAGCGAGGTTGGCCCTGATGAGGAGTTGGCGTGGTACCGCAACCAAGAGCTGGAGGATGCCGACATCGATGCTTTCCTCAACGCGAGCCGTGGCAGTGAGCTTGAGCCCTGGGGTCTCTCAGACCCTCCGCCCGAAACGGGGGCTTCTGATGATCCCCATGTGGAGGGGGACCGAGATGGCAGCGGTTCAGACTCTGAATCGAGTTCGAGTTCCAGCTCTTCTTCGAGCTCTTCAAGTGCTGATGAAAAGGTCCAGGCAGCAAGCGACTTAGCATGCAGATTGAGGCATCACGTCGTGGAGGGATGCAAGCTTTACCAGCACTGCAGGACAAAGACTGTGCATCGCATGCTTGAAAACTCGAGCGATGATAAGTTTGTCTGTGGCAGGCCTCTCACCAAAGACCATCGCCCCTTCAGGACCTTGGTCAAGATCACTGCTTGGGATTGCAAGCAATGCGCTCAGAGAAAGCCGATTAGCAACACCGGCGCCCTTGTCGGTGCGCTTGATGCTGCCTTGGGCAAGCGTTGACATCCCAGTGCGCTGGGCCTTCGGCGTCAAAGTTCTTTTAACGTGCTATGCTAACTTTCCTTCAGAAGGAAAAATGGCAATGTGTTGGGCACCTCACTGCCTAAACCTGACGCGCCTTGTCGGCTGCTGAGAAAAGAAATCCGTGACTGGGTTTGTCACTCATCTGCCTCCGCATGCTGATTGTTGCGCGCGGCTTTCCGCCGCTTCCACTGACCGGTGCGACTTCATAGTCAGGTTTGTCACCCTTCTTCTTGTGCGAAGTATTACTTCACTTGAATCCTGAAGAGATCTTCTTATGAGCGGCTTCCCGCTGCATGGGTTTGACACCCATCTTTCAGAAGCGGTCTCGGGAGTTGCTTCTAAAGTGCGTGGCTTTCCGCCACTTCCTCTTCGGAGCATGGGTTTGTCACCCATTACTCGGGAGCAGTCTCAAGAGTTGCTGCTGATTTGTGTGGCTTTTCGCCACTTCCTCTTCGGAGCCATCGCATCGTTCACGAAGCTTGGGCTCTAGGATCGTGTAGTATCAGCCATGTCCCTGCTGAAATCTGAGGCGGCATTTGAAGAACTTGCCACGGAATGTGGCCTTTCAAGTGCACAGCTGCTGATCCTGAAAGGGAAAGGTGTCTCGACGATGTCGTCATTGGCCTATGCTGTCACCACCCCGGGTGTGCAACCTACGGAGCTTGCCCTTCGTCAGCTTTTGGATACTGCCACTCCTGAAGCTGTTTCAGTTGGCGCCTTATCATCCATTCGACGCTGTGTGTTTGAGTGCCAGACTTGTGTTGTGCAGCAACTTAAGCTCTCAGTCGAAGGGCATGAGGGAGACAAGAAGTACGACCTCCCGCCTGCTGAACGCACCAGCCGCATTGCGGCTCAAAAGACCAGGCTTGTCGGTTTTGAGTTAACCGGCGCGATGGAGTGCGCATATTCCTGCTACACTCTTGTGGGCTCCATGCTTGAAGCCGACTCGCCAATTTACTTGGAGCCCCATAGGTTCATCACCAGGCAACAGGAGGTTTGCAGAGAAAAGCCCAAGCGTGAAATCGTGCTCGATGGGGGCACCAAGCTCACTGTTCGTGATCAGCAGAGTCGTGATCGTTGCCAGATCACCAATGAGCTTCAACTCTGGCAGGCTCTTACACGTCGGAGCTTAGCCTGTGACCTTATGGGTGCCATCAGCTTCCAGGTGCAAGAATCTTGGCACCGCTTTCTGTTCGATCGCATGGCTCAGCCTCCTCCTCCGAGGTGCAGCAAAGTTTCCATGGAACAATTGTTGAGGGCTGATCGTCAAGCTTGGGTTCAGTTGAGACGGTTAAGACGCTTAAGAGGGACAGTGCCGGCGTGTTGCCTCTTGATGCTGCCTTCCCGGGTCTTCGCACTGACCCTGCTGTCTTGTTCAACCTCCTTCCTTTGAGGTCGCCTGATCCTCCTCAGAAGACCCCGAATCCGGATAGGGGCAATGGTAAGGGCCTTGATAAAGGTACCAAGAGGGACTCTGAAGGCCAGCCTCGAAAAGAGTCCCAGCTTCCTGATGCCCTCAAGAACATTCCAAACCTTAAGAAGAAGACCTCGAAAGGCAAGCGACTTTGTTGGGCATACAACATCAAAGACAGGGGGTGCAGCCATGCTGAGGCTGGCAAAGCTTGTCGCTTCGGTCTTCACTTGTGCATGCGTGCGAGAAGCCTCACCCCCAGTTCGAATGCCCTGCAGCTTCTGCTTCTTGACTCTCACGCGAGTCCGGGGAGACCTGCACTGACGAGGCACCTCAGGTACCGGCTCCTTGTGCAAGCTCCCCTATCCCCATCTTAGATGACATTTTTCCTTTGCTGCCTGACAAGGTTGATGCTTCTGCCGAGGTTAAACATCCGGCCGAGGAATTTTCGCTGGGTGTATTGACATCTGGCACCGCTCCTTCGCGCAAGGACGTTTTGCATCTTTCCACACTTCTTCCCTTCGATGCTCCTCAGCCTTCTCGGGATTTAGGTAGTGCCGGTCAATCGTGGACCACGGGTCTGTACACCAAAGGTGGTATCACGGCCCTTCGATCTAATGTAAAATCCTTTCCATTTTCGTCTTCTCTGCTTTTTGCTTTCATCAGAGCCATCAGTCCTTCCTTCGAGTGCACCAGTGCTGCTCTCTTTGTCGACTCGCAGACAGCCCTGCATCGCGACAGCTACAACGCGCACCTTCCCAATCTGTTGATTGGGGTCAACTCCTTCTCAGGTGGCCAACTTTGGCTCGAGGGAGAGGGACCTCATCCAATGACCGATCCTTCAGGTGCCCAACTTCATGGACAGCTGCACGAGGTCTCCCTCAGTCATCTCACTTTCGATGCTTGGAAACACAGACACTGCACAATGCCTTTTTTGGGGTCTCGAGTAGTGGTAGTCGGGTTCTCGGTTGCTAGACACGAGTCGATGCCTCTGGCTTGTCGCAGTGCTCTTGTATCCTTGGGTGTGCCCTTGCCTTCCATTGAGTGTGGTACCGATGGTGCTCCTGTGCTGGAGCCTCTCCCGCCAACTGTGCAACTCTTCTTGGACAGAGTTAAACTGCGTATCTCTGGCCGTCCCTCGAGTGACCTAGCATTCCTTGAAATCTTTGCCAGGCATGGTGGTGTGTGTGCGGCTGTGCGCAGCCTCGGCATGCAAGGCTTTGCAATCAATCGTCATCCCCGAAACACTCGGGCTCCTGTTGTTCCGCTGGATCTTTCCACTGACAGTGGCATTTCGCTTTTGCGAGACATCCTTTCGAAGGATAATGTTGTTGCTGTGCACATGTCACCTCCTTCCAACTTCAGTGACCTTGCAGTAAGCATTTACACGGAGTGTTGTGCCAATGGTCTTCTTTGCTGCCTCGACGCCCCGTGCAGCTCCAACCTTTGGAAACTTCGTGACCTCCGGGGTGCCTGTCCGCAAATCTCCACCCACTACAGTCCTTGCTTCGTGCACGACGGGCTGTGTCAGCATAGGCGCCTGCTTCACAACTTCCCTGCACTGTCAAGCCTTAGCTTTCCGTGTGGAGGGGGATGCAAACCACCAAATCCGGCGTTGCCTTTGTCTTCGTCCCCTGGTCAGCTTTGTGCCATGGTAGCAAGGGCCTTTGCTGTTGAATTGCAACACCAGGGTGCTCGGTTTCCAGCAGCAGAACTTCAGGAGCTTGGGCTCCAGTTGGCACGAGCCGCTCAGGTTGCCTCCGGAAAGCAACCCAAAGGCAAACGTGTTCCGCCTTTGGTCTCTGAGTACAAGTCCATCATCACTGTCACTGGCCCTTCTTGTGCTATGCCCCCGAAGCAACTCTCGGAAGATTGGGCCATTCCTGATAAAGTCTTGTGCAAGCCCTCCTTAAAGCGGCTACCCAAGACCGCCAAGCTGATTCGCACTGTGCCGTCTGCTGGGGGTCCCTGCAGTGCTACTCGACAACTTGGTTCTGAAGTTCGGGTTTAGCCCCTTCTGATAGTTCGGGTTTAGCCCCTTCCTCCCCTGTGGACGACTCCTTAAAGCCTGGCGCCCTGCTTGATACCTGTTCGAAGCCTGGCGATGGCCACTCTCTTGGCGCAGCCCCGCATGAGGAGCGAACTTATGGTATCGCGTGGACCCCAGAAGAGTTCGTCAAACAGGCTCGCGGAGCCCTACACCCCAAGCGTATCGAAAATGGTGTGCCAAAGATTTTAAAAGAGACCATTGTGCGATGCGCCCAGGAGTCACCTGCCGACCTTGCCAGAGAACGCACTGCTACGTTGAGGAGGTGGATGCTTACCTCCGAGGAGGCGGCATCCCGTGCAGATCCCTCCGACATGCCCGACCACTGTGCCGCAGTTCTTGGTAAGAAATCCATGAAAGTCTTCAAATCGCTCTTGACTGAGGCCGAGTACCCGGACACAACCTTGACCAAGGACATCTCAACTGGGTTTAACCTTCTAGGCCCCATACCCGCATCTGGAGTCCTTCCCTCTAAGGTTTCCGCTGCCTCGCTTACCGTTGAGGATGTTCGTGCAGCCACTCCCCTTGCCAGGAAGGCCATCCTTACCTCTACCAGAGAAGGTTTCGACCGCGAGGTGGCTGAAAGTGTTTACCAGCTTACGAAAGATGAGCTTGCGAAAGGGTGGCTTAAGGGACCTTTTAAGGAATCGGACATCCCCCCGGATGCCATAGTCACTAGAAGGTTTGGGATAGTGCAATCCTCCACCGATGCCAAGCTAGGGTCAATCAAGAAGGTGAGACCAATCGATGATTACACGGAATCTCTTGCTAATCTCACAAACAGTGCTAGCGAGACGATCTGCCCTCACGGGGTGGACGTTGTGGTCGCTGCATTGTGCCTTCGCATCAGGTCGGCCCGGAAACTTGGCAAGCGCGAGCAACTTGTTCTTAGGACGATAGACCTTAGAAAAGCCTATAAGCAACTTCCTTTAAGCACTGAAGCTTTGTATGATTCTTTCATAGCTGTGCTTAACCCTCACAGCATGGAAATTGAGATATACCAGACAGTTGTGCTGCCCTTCGGCAGCAAGCCGGCCGTTCAGGGATTCTACAGAACTGCCTTCGGCCTTTGGTGGATCGGAGTCCGGAGCCTGATCCTGCCATGGTCTCTGTATTTTGACGATTTCGTCTTACCCTGCTCGTCCGACGAGCAAAAACATCTTGACTTAGTCCAGTCAACATTTTTCAGGATCGTTGCCTGGGAAACGTCCTCCGAAAAAGACAGTGGTTTTGATGCTAAGAATGGATTGATCTCAGTCCAGAACACCGAGGCCCGCAAACGCGAACTTTGCTCATCCATCGATGAGGTCCTGACCCGAGGCTTTGTTGGCCAAAATGAGCTTCTCTCTCTACGAGGGCGACTCCTGTTTGCCGAGAGTCAAATCTTTGGACGATCAGCTTCGCTTCACATGCGCAACCTTTCGCACTTCTGTCAAAAGCACGGCAGACTTGTGGTTGGTGCTAGCTTAAGGGCCTCCTTGACTTTCTTGAGGGACCGTGTAGTTCTTGGCAAACCAAGGTGTGTAGACTCGAGTCTTCGACAAGTGTATCACGTGTACACTGACGCTTCCTACGACGATCAAGGGGGTGGCCTTGGTGGTTTGGTTTACGACTTTAAAGGTCTGTGCCTTGCCTGGTTTAGTGAAGTAGTCACCTCCAAGGACCTTGAGATCATCAACCCTGATGGTAAACTTACCTTGATCTACGAGCTAGAAACCCTTGCCGCGGTTTTGGGTGCCACCCTAATCCCTAACCTGCGCCACTGCGACATTGTGCTCTTCGTTGACAACGAAGCTTCACTGGCGGCTCTCATCCGAGGACAATCCGATTGCCCTTTCGTGCAGTCTCTTCTCTCCCGCCTCTTTCAGGCTGAAGAAGAGCGTGATCTTGCGATCTGGTTCGAGCGTGTTCGCAGTGAAAGCAATCCTGCAGATGCCCCTTCGCGGGGCGACCACAGTTTTCCCGCCTTTTCCAGGCGGCGCTTCAATGTGCAATCCTTGCTGACCGATCTTTGCGGTTCTGCAAAACTTGGTACCGATGTGCGCGTGCATACATTTCCTTTTGCGCACCAAATGTTTTCCTTTTGTGTACAGTATGTATGGCCAGGTATGTATCTTGTGCTCACATGGTGAAGTGCATATATCTGCAGGCGTTCGAAAGATCACAGAGAAAATTTCATGGTAGCGGAGCGCTAGTGCGCTCTTTGGACCTTGGAGGCCCAATAGGAGGTTCCTGTATAGCTGGTAGTGCCCCACACGTGTAGTGAGGCCCTTGACTCTTCGCCGCCATTACTTCTGAAGCATCTGCGCAGCCAAGCGAGGCTGAACGGACAGTAGACTGGGACGAGCCAGCAAAGCTTCGTCAGTTGCGATCCTGCGCAATTGAAACCTACACTGAGTTGCAGCTTGAGAAGCCACGCACGCCGTCGCTGTCTGATTACTCGTTTGGTAAGAGGCAGGTTCAGCTGAGGCTAGAGCATAAGTACAAAATTGAGCAACTAACCACGGCAGCTGAAATCATTGCGTACGCTTGTAAATTGCTGTCAGCAGATCCGCATTTGCTCGAGGTTTTCCTTAGGCACCCTTACGAGGTTGTCTTAAGAGCTGAGGAGTCCAAGTCAGTGCCAGCAGATACCCAGGAACTGCCACTGCGTGCTTTCGCTAGGCTGAGTGTGAGCCGTGAGGTTATTGATCTTGAGGAGCAGTCATCAGCAGAGGACCCCTCTTCTTGCAAGTCACTACCCAACCCCCTTAGGGGTGTAGTCCCCTTTTGTGGTTCCGATGGCGAGCCCAGCGAGCCCAGGCCAGCTAGAAGCAGGTCAAGGTGATGCGACGATGAGTATGCAGGAGGCCGTGCAGCAAGTGCCAGCGGCACCGGTTACTGAGCCAGCCCCTCAAGTGAGTGTTAATGACGTGACCCAGCTTGCAGCTCTCGTGCAAGCTGCTTCGAGTGCGGCTGCCAGTGCTGCTAGTGCTGTGTCGCGCATGCAGGAGCAGAATGAGCGTGGGACTGAGCGACAGTACTCAGGCTATACGGATGCAGCGAAGGTTTTGAAGTATCCTGAAGGCTTCGGTGGAGGTGATTCTCACGAGACGGACCTTGCCCGCTGGCAGGAGTTTGCGCACAGCTTTCGCTCTTGGATCCTTTATGCTGAGCCAGCTTTTGAGACTGAGCTGGATATGATTGAGAAACATCCCGATGTTGTGATCACCTTGGGTGAGATGGCTCGTGCAACGGGTGTGCGCGCCCGCAGGCTCTACGCGATCTTGTCAGGGTTGCTGAAGGGCAGGCCGTTGGTGATGTTGAGAGCTGTTGAAGAGCATAATGGGTTCGAGCTTTGGAGGCAACTCATTAGTGTGTACGCTCCACGTACGCGTGCACGCTCGTTGGCGCTATTGAGCGCCTACATGGCTTATCCAGCCTTCGTGAAAGAGAGAAGCATTCGCGAGCAGGTGAGTGCCCTCGAGAGGATATCGGAAGAGTATCAAAAGGTGGCTGGAAGACCTATAGCCCCGGATGTTCGATTAGGTGTTCTAGTAAGGGTTCTCCCGAGTCATTTGAAACAACACGTACAACTTCAGATGACAGAAAAGTCCAGTTACGAGAGCATCCGCGAAAGCATCCTTCAGTACGAATCGGTGACGACTACATGGACGGCCCATCGTGTGCATGTTGAGCTGGGAACGTCGACCGCCAGCGACCAAGGACCTCAGCCTATGGACATAAGCAGGGTCAAAGGCAAAGAAGGCAAAGGCAAGGGTGACAAAGGCAAGCCGTATCGTCCTTATGGTAAGGGCCACGACAAAGGCAAAGGCAAGGACAAAGGCAAAGGCAAGCATGCCAAGGGCAATCCTTGGAACGGCAAGGCCCCCCAGCATGGTGGCTGGGATGGCGGCAAGGGCCGCGGCAGAGGCAAAGGCCCGAAGGGCAAAGGCAAGGGCAAAGGCGCTGACGTTTGCCTTAATTGCGGACGGTCCGGTCACTGGAAACGTGATTGTCCACAGTTGAGGCAGGTAGGTGAGCAACAGGTGCCGCAGCCGCCGCAGCAAGCATCAGCAGGTGCCGGGCAGCAAGGTCAGCATGCAACAGGTCAGGCAGCAGGTGGAAAGGGCCCTGGGGGCCAGCAAACTGCTGTGCGCAGAGTGGCGTTTGGAACCCCGCTCGAGTATGTGTTGTCAGACGATTGGGAGCCCATCCCAAACTTGACCATTTACGACCTTGAGAGCACTGAGGATGTTGGTGCATGCCCCGGTGGAGATGAACCATATGATGCCTGGTATGATGATGGTGACACGTACTCGTATGACGAGTGGCATAATGTTGCTGCTGGGCAGGCTTGTGAGCGCAGGTTTGGCCCGAGTGTCAGAATGATACAGTGTGCCCAGGATGATGCTGATGATGACTGTGGACTGTCAAGCATCAGCCTTGAGGACCAGTATGACTGCCTCGAGGCTATCAACGAGATGTACCTGGGCCGAGGCCCACAGGTCAGGGCTATCACGCATGATGAAGTGGACATCATACTTGATTCCGGTGCTGATGTGTCAGCACTTCCCTTGCGGTTCTCCAATGTTGGGGTCAAGGACAGGTCTTCGAGCAGCATGAAGTATTCAGATGCCCAGGGAAACCCTCTTCAGGTACGTGAGTTTCGCATTGCTGAGGTGAGGATCGGCCCGTGCCGGTTCTACGAGCGTTTTGCCCTGTCCAATGTCACTCACCCCTTGATCTGCCTTGGCAAGCTGTATCGTGCAGGTTGGTTTGTCCGCCCTGAGAGCAATGTCTTGAAGCTGAGCAATGATACTCATTCGGTCCCGATTGGTTATCGTCACCAGTCTTTCTGTGCACAGGGGACCATTCGTATGTTGAGTCGCAGTGAAACTGATGCCATGATGAGCCAGAATACTTCCGCGATGCCCCGGAGCATTGCACCGCAGTCAAGTCACATGCCCCGGAGCAGTTCAACGCAGTCAGGTCACATGCCCCAGAGCAGTTCAACGCAGTCAGGTCACATGCTTCAGAGCAGTTCGACGCAGTCAGGTCACATGCCCCAGAGCAGTTCGACGCAGTCAGGTCACATGCCCCGAGGTGATGGTGCTTCATCAAGTTCAGGTGCAGATGGTACTTGTGTGCAGCAAGGTTCAGTACCGTTGCAGGTCCGCGCAATCGAGGTCACTTTAGGCGAGAAGCTGTCTGGTCTGAGCAACAATCGTGGCTGGGTCAAGATTGCGCCGTCGTGCTATGTGTTGCGATCGAGTGCTGCACACCACGTCAACACCACACTCGGTCCATTTGACAACCTCATGTGGAGGCGCACCACTTTGTGTCGCAGGTCAGATCGCTGGTACCTTGAAGAGTTTGGAGAGGATGTGAGTGCTCTTGCAGGCGAAGGCAACCTAGAGAAGCCGTTTGATCCCGGCGAGCCCGTGCAGTCATGCATAACGTTTGCATACAACAGAGCTGACATGTCTCCTGAGGAGCTGGGTTTTTCGTATGCAGGGGATAATTATGGTGTCATCCTTCCGGCTCCCGCGCCGGCTGCAGCAGCATCGGCTGATGATGACATGGATTTGTCTCCTCCTGAGGTGCCTGTTGCACCACCTGCACCAGCCGCTGATGGCTCACCAGGTGAAGCAAACCCTGTTCCGGACAGCCCAGAAGGTCAGTTGCCTGCTGATACTGTCGTGATTGAGGGCGTCAGGGTGACGAGTGAGTCTTCAGCTACAGTCCTCAGGGCCGCTTGCACTAGTTTGGGCTTGAGTAAGGCCGGTAATCGCCGTCAGTTGTGGCGCCGCTTGACGAATCACATCAACTCGCAACAGCTGCTGATTGATAAGCATGTCGAGGCCAATTTGGCCAGCTCGAGGGCTCGTGATCCGGTCACCCCGGCAGTAGCCTCCGAGCCTGATGCGGCTACCAAGGCGCGTCACTGTCTGACGCATGAGCCTTACGAGCCTTGGTGCGAGATTTGCATTCGCCACAGAGCACGCCAGGACCAGCATGCAACTTCTGTGCCGCACACCTCTTCAGGGAATGCTGTTGTGTCATTTGATTTTGGGTTCTTATCGCGAAAGGGCCAGAGTCTTTTGAGCACGAAGCCTGAGGTCGGAGAGGACAGTTTGACTGTGCTATTTTGCGTTGATCGTGCGAGCAAAGCTGTGTTTGCCATCCCTACACAAAGCAAAGCAGGTGCTGCAACCTCGTTCTTGGTTACTGAGGCAGCCAGGTTCATATGCTGGTTGGGACACTCAAACGTCAAGTTGAAGTCGGACAATGAGAGGCCGATCCTTCATGTCATGCATCATTTGCAACGTGCCCTCCGAAGCTTGAACATTGGAGTGGCCTCTGAAACGAGCCCTGTGGGTTCACATGAGTCCAATGGCGAGGTTGAGCAAGCTTTGCAACGCGTGCGCCAGCATGCGTGTGTTTTGATTTCGCAGCTTGAGGAAGGTGCAGGCATGACGAAGGAGGTGATCAAGGTTGGTCACCCATTGTTCCAGTGGTCCGTGCTGCATGCTTGTTGGCTCCTCAACCGCTTCAGAGTCCTTCAGAATGAAACTGCATTTGAGCGAGTCAGGTCTTCGTCTTATGAAGGCCGCATCTGCCTCTTCGGCGAGCGGGTTATGGGTTTCCTGCAAACAGCCAAAGCCTCAGCCCAGTGGATCAAGGGAGTCTGGCTTGGCAAAACATGCAGAAATGATGTGCACATAATCGGCACAGCTGCGGGAATATTTGTGACCCGTTCAGTGCGCCGTTTTGCAAATCCGTGGGACCTTGACTTAGCCGTGTCAGTGGAGAAGTGTGTGTGGGAGCACGGCCTGGCATCACTTGGATCGCAGCTTGTGTTGGCCAAGCGTGTTGCACCGCCTGCGCCGATACCTGTGCCAGTTCCCGCTGAGGTTTCAGGTGGTCCAGTGATTGCACCAGGTGATGGTGACGGCAAGGAGGCTGCAGATGAAGGAGCTGCAAGCCCAAGCGAAGTGGCGGGGACGGACCCCAGCAGTAGCAGTAGTAGCAGCTCCCGTCGCTCCAGTGATGTTGCAATGTCAATCGGTGATTCCTTCATGTCAGTTGCAGATGAGGGTGCCGGCGTCGGGTATGTTGACAATGGGGAACCGGGCCCTGGCGGGGATGTGAACCGCGTGCAGCTCTCTGCCGCCTCGCTTGTGTGCCCATTCTTCTTCCCTGGTGAGTCGATCCGCGCTGTGCATGCGTATGGCCACGAGGATGAGTCTCCTGAGTTGTGCTTTGAACCTGAGCTTGTTGAAGGGTTCGAGGAGGATGATCTCCAGGATGATGAGTGGGAAGAGCCTGAAGAAGTTGATCTGACTGACTATGAGCAAAAGCTGATGTTCCCACGCAGCGGTGATGACCCACCTTCACTGTCCCAAGACAAGCTAGATGAGATAGATTTGGTTGCTGAGTTTGTTGAGATTGAGCGCCTTAAGAAGCTTTCGGTTCTCCTTGATCCCAGCACTCTCGATGGCCACAGTGCAGGTGAAGTGAAGCGCTTGACAACGCGCATGGTCAAGGACTGGCGCGAGAAGGTACACCAGGGCAAGCCCATATGGTTGAGGCGCGCCAGATACGTTGCAAGGGAGTTTGCATGGTTGTGCGAACGGTCGGACACCTTTGCACCAGCTTCTTCATGTCTCCTCAACAGACTCCTCCCGATCTTGTACACCACAAGCACCGCTCCTGACAAGTGCCTGGTCGCTATCGATGTGTCAGATGCATTCCTCACAGTCGATCAGACTGTGCCGACGGAGGTTGTGTATCGCCCGACAGGTGGAGGTCCTGAGGTCAAATTTGCTTTGGGCAAGCTGTTGCCAGGGCAACGTGATGGATCTGAGAAGTGGTATGGCTCCTTCTTGCAGCACCTTAGTTCAAGCTTGAGTGTGGAGTCCTGTGAAGCCTATCCTACACTTCTGAGGACCAAGGGTCTGGAAAGTGTGATGCAGTTGCATGTGGATGACATGCTGGCCTTCACTACATTGAAGTACGCGAACAATGAGCTTAAGCCCGCACTTCTTGCGAAGTACAAGATTAAGTTCGAGGTGTTGCAGAAGCCAGGTGATGTTCTCTGGTTCTTGAAACGCAAGTTGCACTTGGTCTCGGAGGACCAACTTCTGATGAGCCCGCATCCGAAGTACTTGGAAAGGCTCCAAAGACTTCTGAACATCAGGCCTGAAGCCAAGAAGAAGACACCACTTTTCAGTGATCTTGAGAAGTTAGATGGGACCAAGCCATTGAGCCCAGCAGATGCCAAACTGTTCCGATGTTGCGTCGGAGTGCTGCTTTATGTTGCCCATGATTGCATCGATTGTCAGTATAGCATCAACATGCTCGCGTCACGCATGAGCTCGCCCACCGAGCTTAGCATGAAAGGCCTACGGCATCTTGTGATGTACATGAGCACCATAGGTGATGAAGGCCTGATGCTGTGCAATCGTGGAACCGGTGTTGGGTTACTTGGCGATCGCTTTGATCACGATGTGGTGGTCGAGACGTTTAGCGACGCCAACTGGGCCGGTGACCAGCAGAGTCGCAAGTCAACATCGGCAGGCGTGATGCATCACTTCACGCGTGCGTGTCGATGTTTTATAGATCCTAGGTCAAACGAAATTTTGTAAGCAACAAAATTTTGGGCCATGACAATCTTTGCGCTACTCTTAGTAGTGCTTTACAATCCTGACTTTTAACAACTTTCAATCGCTGTTGCATGATTTCGTTTCTCCTGTCGAGCAACGATTTTTAAACCATGCGGTTAAACGGACGCTTGGTCATGATTGAATCTGCAACCATCGAAGCTGTCTCGAGATCGAGCCAGAAAATTTTGATTTGGGGGCTCTCTAGAGGCTTGTAATTCCGTCTAACAGGCCTGAGCCCTCCGTAACTCGGTGTTGCTCTTAGAGCGCCGTGCAAGAGCCCCGCCGGGGGCTCGGATGGATCCGGGCTCGACCCTTGCGGCCGAGTCGTCTTCCAGCGACACTCAGGAGGCCATTTCGGCCCACCTGCACGCAGTTCAGCTTCAAGTTAATTCTCTTGAACAGCAGCTTGCCTTGCTGCGAACAGAACTGCAGGCAGTTCGCCAACAGCTTGTGAACCTTGAGGCCGAAAGATACCAGCACTCCCTTCGCTTGGGGTGGCTGGAGCAACTTGTGCAGCGCGTTTCACGCGCTTTCCGCTTTGAGTGATTGTGCCTGCACTGGGGTACTTCGGGGCTGTAGTAGAATGGGGGATGATGAGAACAGCTCCCTCCCTTCGAGTTACGGGCTTCACCTGAGGTCGTGCCTGCGAGACTCGAGGTCTATTTGGAAGACCCCTTGGAACAATGCACTCGTTGCTTTTGACCCTAAGCCCCGCTTGCCGCCTCCTCTTGGACCTCTTCCACTTGTAGTCCCAGCGAACCCTTCTGCTGATCAGCCGGCCGTGCCGATCCCTCGCTTCATCAGGTCGGAAGGGCTTGAACAGGTGTGTGCGAAGATGGCCAAATTCAAACACACTTCATGGGAAGTTATGATCAACGAGGAAAGAAATCTTGCCGTGAATAAGTGGCTCAGCCTAGTCATGGTCGAGCCCTTGACCTTCGGTGTAGCTAGGAACTTCTACGCCGGCAAGGCATCGGGGATCTCTTCGGGATCACTTGCAGACAGCATTTCGGATTGCCTTGCTGCCAAGGCCACTTCGACGATCAATGCCAGGGCGAATTGCTTGTTGCGGTTTGTTTCTTGGGCAAAGGGGAACATGCCGTTTGTTTTTCCCTTGACCGAGCATGCTGTCTACGCATACTTCGAGGAAAGGAAGTCCACAGCAGCGGCAACTTCGTTCAGGAGCCTTCTTTCTTCGGTTGCTTTCGCTCAGCATGTGGTAGGCCTGGAAGGGTGTGACAAGGTTTACACTTCGGGTCGCGTCCGCGGCCTTGCGTCGAAGCTTTACATGCAGAAGAGGAAGCTCAGGCAACGGAATCCTCTGAGGGTCTCCGATGTCATTCTTCTTGAAAGGATTTGTTGCAAGCTTGAAGACAGGTCTTTGCAAGACCGTATCGCCGCAGGTTTCTTTCTTTTCTTGATTTATGCAAGAGCTAGATACAGTGACGGGCAAAATGTAGCATCGCTGACTGATTCGCCGCTCTACTTGGAGTGCAGTGTGGGCAGGTCTAAGACGAGTTTCTCTTTGGAACGCAAGACCAGGTACTTGCCAATGGCTGCCAGGAAGGTGGGCATCAAGTGTGCATGGGCCGATGCGTGGCTTGAGGCTTTGTCAGAGGCGGGTCTTGCGATCAAGCCGAACGACCCGTTGCTCCCCTGCCCTTCTTCGAATGGTTCGTGGAAGATGATCCCGCTTCCGTGCGATCAGGCTTGCTCGTGGCTCAGGAGCCTGCTGGGGAACGCTCAGAGCGATCCCTACCTTGCAAATGTAGGAACACATAGCCTTAAGAGAACTTTGCTGAGCTGGGCAAGCAAGCGTGGTCTGCCCAGGGAACTGAGGGCCCTCTTGGGGTATCATACGTCCCGAGCCTCGGGCGCGGGATCAGAGCTCATCTATGAGTCCGACGCCCAGTCGGCTCCGCTCAGGGCTTTGTCATCTATGATCGACGAGGTGTCGTCCGGGGCCTTCAAGCCCGACAAACCAAGGGGGCAGCAGCTTGCTTCCGAGCTGTCGGCGAATGCCGATCCACCGGGCGATGAGATCGAGTCGTCAGACTCTGAGGGCTCCGAAGACGAGGAGGAGATCGACCACTCAGGGGACGAAGCTTGTGTTGCCGAGGCTTTGGACTGGCATGGGAAGGTCGATCTTGACAAGATTGATCCCTCGTGTGTTTTCTTTCGGCATCGCCAATCCAGGGTAGTGCACATCACTGCCGACGAAGCCGGCGCCAACCTAGGCTGCGGTAGGACCATTTCGGGTCAGTACAGGAAGCTGGAGGCGCGACCCGCAGTTTTGCATCCAAGGTGCAAGCAGTGCTTCAGGAGATACTTGATTGTGCAGCAGGGCACATGACTCTGCATCCGGCTCGTGTCTGCAATTTTGTGCAAAATTGTGATGTCGTGCACGTGCGCTCCGCAAGCCGGTCAAGTGCTGTCATTAGTGGTATCGTGCAAGAGCAGAGATCTGGCGGATGTCGTGTCCTGCAAGACGAGTGATTTGATGAAGAGCAAAGCCCTCCTGCAGCTGCTTTCAGCTCGTAGTGGTCCAAGCAGCACACCATGGCGGCCTTCTCCGAGTCGGGGCCAGTGTTCAAATCACGATGTGCCCAGGTCGGTTTGGCATCTGCGGATGTCGAAAAACTCGAGAAGGTGGGTGTGGATTCACTCGCAAAGGTAGCTTTCATGACGAGCTACACGCCGGGCTCTGGCGATGACAAGGACCTTATTGCAGCGTTCGAGTCGGCCCTCGGGACGCCGCCCTCTGTAGGGCAGAAAAGCTCCTTCCGAAGGTTATTTCATGAAGCATATGCTGTTACCACTTCGGAAATGAAGATGCTTGTGGAGCGGACGGATGAATCCATCCCAAGAAAATTGAGCGTCCCAGAGAGATCTGAGAGGTTCGAGGTAGTGAGCAAACGCCTTGTGGGCCTTTCGATCAAGAACCGTCTTGAGCCTGCCGATAGCCTCGTCGACTCCTTCGTGTCCCAGTATGAACAGGACAAGCTGCAGTTTGTCCCGTGGGAGAAACTTGTTTCCAAAGAACAAGAGGCCTCAACAGGGGCAAAGCGAGAGCCTTTCTTCTCGCTGGACAGTACGGGCAAGCTCAGGTCGGAGACGAAGGTTGAGGTCCGTGCCGATACTAGCACGGAGCTGCTCTTGCAGCTCGCGCTTCAAAGGCGCGGCATCGCTATGGAAATGGCGAACATCCTCGACTACCATCGTCACCACATGTGGGTTGAGCGCATTCTTGCGGCGCGCCTCGACGCACCTCCGTCGACGCACATGCAGCCCACACTTGATCAGTGTCAGCAGGCTGACAGGAAGCTTTGGCAGCTTCTCGGAGAAGCGACCCGCTCAGGCATCCAGCTCAAAGCTGGGGGGCGTCCATTGGACGCCATCTTCGAGGACACATGGCAGTCACCGGAGGTGCTTCATCTGCTTCAGCCGATGCCTCGGGCAGCAGGCGCTTCAGTCACGCAGCAGGTGGCACCGCCGCCGAGGCCGCACGGGCCGGGCCCGTATGATCGTCCGGGAAAAGGCCGAAAGGGCGCAGGGAAAGGTGCCAAGGGCACCAAAGGCAGCGGGAAAGTTCCTGCCGCTCTTGCGGGTTGCAGATCTTGCACCAATGCAGGTGAAAACATATGTTTTGGGTATGGACTCAAAACGTGCAGGGAAACTGTGACTCGTGGTCGCTGTGTGCGCGGATTGCACATCTGCGCATGGCCCAAGTGCGGCAAATCGCATCCTGCGCTGGACTGTCCGTTGCGTGCTGAGGCTCTTAGCCAAAAGCAAGAGTGACAGTCGAAGAGCGAGCCCGGCAGCTCGCAGTTCTCGACTCAGAGTCGAGGCAGCCCAGGCTTAGCTGGGCAAAGTTTTGCACCGCCGCAGGCTCCGCCTGCGCCGAACAGTTCTCCTTTAGCAGTTCTTGATCCGTGTCAGCAGACTGCTAGTATGGATTCAAGCAAGTTTTCTTCACTTTTGCAATTGCTTCGGAGCGCCAATTGGCCCAACTCTGTCTTGCAACGCAAGTCTGTTTCTTCAGCGGATCCCAAGCAGTCGGGGTACTACAACTTCGGGCCCAGAGCCAGCTGTCCCCATCTCCTTACAAACGCCACGCTGCAGATGCGAGAGTTTGTCCAGCAGCTGAACTCAGCCGTCAAAGCACTTGTGCCTCAGGCGTCCTGGAATGCAATCTGTGTGGGCCAGAATACGCTGTCAGATTTTCACAGGGATTCCGGCAACCAACGGGGTTCTTTGAACCATACCTTCTCGCTGGGCACCTTTCAAGGCGGCCAGCTCTGGCTTGAAGATGCGGCAGGCACTTCCGAGGCCACGAGTCCCGCAGGCGAGCAGATCCGGGGCAGGGTTGTGAATACTTTCTGCAACCCCACTAGTTTTTCTTGCAACTTGTGGCATAAGACGATGCCTTACACAGGCGAGCGATGGGTCGTGACACTTTATACTCTGTCAGGTGGGCAACCTTCCGAGTTGCTCCCTTTGGGCTTTCCGTGTGGATCCGCCGCTGTGACTTCGCAGTCCTCTGGCGCGCAATCTCCGCCCGAGCCTGCCACTTCTGGGTCTAGCCCTTCGGTTCCCGCCCCTTTGGGTTCTAGTCTTCCCCCGCCCGCCGACCCGCCTTGTAAACGCTTGAAATCCCAGGATGCAAAGGTGTCGCCTTCGCAGCGTGAAAAGCCTTTGTTCTTAGAGATTTGTAGCGGGTCGGCTATGCTGTCTTATGTCGCCAAGGAGGCAGGCTACAGTGTTGTGCCAATCGATTGGCACCATAACAAACAAAGATCCTGTGTGCACACTCTGCAGCTTGATCTCCGCTTGGCCAGCACATGGTCATTCCTGCGGCGCATTTGCTCCGAATACCATGTCGCTTGGATCCACATGGCCCCTCCATGCGGTACTGCAAGCAGGGCTCGCGAATGTGGGCCCGGTCCTAAACCGCTTCGGTCGCATCATCATGTGCGTGGGCTCCCTGGCCTTTCACAGGTAGATCAAGCTCGTGTTGAGAGTGCCAACTCCATCTACGACCACATGGAGTCCTTCTGCGACTGGCTGCTTCGATTCATGCCTCATATCCCGTTCTCCGTTGAGAACCCGTTGCACAGCTACCTTTGGCAATTCCCGAAGTGGGCCGCAATGGTCCAACGGCACTCCTTTGTCACATTTGACTCGTGCCGGCACGGCTCGCAACGCAAGAAGGCCACGGCCCTTCTCACCAATTCTGACTTCCTGCACTGCCTCTCGGGCCCCTGTCCCGGCTGCTCCTCGCATCTCCCATGGGGTAAGCAGGGTCGTACCTTTGCAACCGCTGCAGAAACAGGGTATCCTAAGCTTCTTTGTGAACGGATAATCTCATGTGTGGACAAGTCCGCCACCTTGCGGGGCATTGCGCCGGACCGACTGACTGTTTCAAAGGTCTCTGCTGCACGCGCCGCGGGTCAGGTGCAGCCAAGAGGGCGCACGTTCCCACCGATCATTTCCGAATTTGCTTATACCGTTTCTGTTGGCAGCGCGGCAGCCCCCACTCTCAATTCCAAACAATGCTTGTCATCTGCATGGCACGGCGTCCCTGCAGGTTCAAAGCTCCTCCGGGAGTCAGTGGAGAGGGGAGGTTCGCGACTCCCTGAGGGCAACAAGTTCTACGTGTTCGGAGTGTATCGATCCATGCAGGCTTTCTTGAACGAAGCAAAGCTAGTCGTGCACCCGTTTGATTCCGCCAGGTCGCTCCCAGATGAACTTTTGCGAGTCTTGTTCGACACACTCACTAAGGGTCCGGTCGACACGATGAGACATCGCCTTCTTAAGCTGCAGCACTGGCGTGCCCTTGCCAAACAGCTTGAGCCCGAAGAAGAGAAAATCAGGTCAGCCATGGATCCGTGTGTGAGGAGGGTCCTCGGCAACAAGCGTATAGCGCTCATGAAGAGCGTTGCCGCAGAATTGTCGTGGCCTGACACCACTCTCTTCGATGACCTTGCTGCCGGTTTTAAATTAACGGGGTACTTAGGTCGCACGGGGGTCTTTGCTAGTGACGTTAAGCCTGCCACGATGGACCTTGATGAATTTTGGTCGAGCGCCCCGCTTCGCAGGGAAACTCTTCTTGAAAAGGTCAAGGGCCAAAAGGACCATGACTATGCCGATGAGCTCTGGAACATGACGCTTGAAGAGTCCGATAAGTCTGGGAAGAGCTGGCTTGACGGCCCGTTCGATGTCGACTCTCTGGGGAGCATGTTCCCCGACGGTTGGAACGCCTGCCGGCGTTTTGCAGTATGGCAGGGCAAATGGCGTGCCATCGATGACTTCTCGGAAGCTGCGGTGAATGCGTGCTTCGGGTGCTTTGAACGCGTCACTCTCAAAGCCCTTGATGAAATCTGTTGGCTGTGCATGCAGGTCTTCCGTGCCGCAAAGAAGTCGGTCTTTCTTGATCTGGAACTCAGTTCGGGTGAGAGACTCAGGGGGCCTGTCCATACTGCGTGGAAGGACCTCGACCGTGTTCGTCCTCACTGCAAGACATATGACCTTCATGCTGCGTACAAGCAGCTCGCGTTGCACCCTGGGGAAAGGTCGAAATCCATTATCCTGCTCCGGGAGCCCGGCTCCCGCGCTGTCAAGGCCTTTGTGTGCAATACTCTGCCCTTCGGGGCTTCGGCCTCGGTTATGCAGTTCAACAGGGTGGCGTTATTCTTGCAAAGGGTTCTTTGGGATCTGAGGGTAGCTGTGACGTGCTACTACGACGACTTCCCGACGATGACTCCCTCTTTCTTGTCGGGCGGAACGGACAATGCTGTTCATGCCCTCATGGACTTGTTCGGCTTCTCCTTGTCCGAGAAGGAGAAGCCGTTCTCGTGCACTGCAGAAACTTTGGGTGTTGTGCTAGACACGTCTGATCCTGACATGGGGCACATCCTCGTATCGAACAAGCCTGAGCGGGCTGCCATGCTCGAGGGGTCAGTAGGGCGCATCCTTGAACAAGGCCAGGTGGACACGAGGGAACTGCCTTCCCTCCTTGGTAAACTTCGCTTTGCGGATGCTCAGCTGCTCGGTCGCACGGGGCGCCTGGCCCTTGCTGACCTTAGGCTCTTAGGCGATAAAGGGGGTGTCTTCCAGCTGACTGATTCACAATCGAATGCCTTGGCCGTTCTGAGGGCGAGACTTCTTGCGAGCAGACCCCGCGCCATTGCTGCGAGCCCGCCTTCGAATCCAGTCCTCATCTTCACAGATGGCGCATGCGACCCGTGTGAGGGCGGCTTCACCACAGGCGTTGGAGGTGTCATCTTCATCCCCAGCAAAGGGGTGGCCAGGGCTTTCGGCTGCAGGGTTCCGAGCAAGCTTGTCAAGCAATGGGCCGAGGGCAGGAAACACATCATAGGTCAAGTTGAGCTTTACGCGGTCGTGCTCGCCAGGATCTTATGGTCGAGTTACATCGATGGCGAAAGGTGCTTATTCTTCGTTGACCATTCCGGTGTGTTGAGTGCTTGTATCAACTCGAACTCGATCGATGCATCTTGGAGGAGCCTTCTCCTCCATCTGGAGGCTGCCGACGAAGCACGCCCGTGCTTGCCCTGGTTTCATCGCGTCCCGAGCCAGAGTAACATAGCAGACCCACCGTCGCGTGGCAGATGGGACGAATTGTCGTTCCTCGGGCCTTTCACTCGTGATACGCCGGCATGCTTTGTCACTGGTGAGGCGCTTGAAGCAACGTAACGCATAGTCGAGAGGGGGAGATTGATGGTCACGTTGCACTCGAAAGTGCGATTGGATCTGTGGCACGCCCGGTGCCTCGACTTAGGTGGAGGGGCACTCTTAGTGCCCGGTGCACACGTTGTGCACTTGTGTTTTCCGCGAAAACTCCCCATGACTCTCGGCTGTGCCGTGAAAACAAGTGTGAGCGTTCTGCATCAATTTCTTATCACCTGTATATATTCGAATCGGACCAACATATGTGGTCTACAATTCTTTATATGATTTGAAGTGGAGATATTTGATCGAAGTATTTATACTTGATCCAAATATGTGATTGTCATGGATGACCGGATCTATAAGCATCACTTCACGCGTGCGTGTCGATGTTTTATAGATCCTAGGTCAAACGAAATTTTGTAAGCAACAAAATTTTGGGCCATGACAATCTTTGCGCTACTCTTAGTAGTGCTTTACAATCCTGACTTTTAACAACTTTCAATCGCTGTTGCATGATTTCGTTTCTCCTGTCGAGCAACGATTTTTAAACCATGCGGTTAAACGGACACTTGGTCATGATTGAATCTGCAACCATCGAAGCTGTCTCGAGATCGAGCCAGAAAATTTTGATCCCACCCAACCCGCCCTGGGGGGAGATTGATGGTCACGTTGCACTCGAAAGTGCGATTGGATCTGTTGGCACGCCCGGTGCCTCGACTTAGGTGGAGGGGCACTCTTAGTGCCCGGTGCACACGTTGTGCACTTGTGTTTTCCGCGAAAACTCCCCATGACTCTCGGCTGTGCCGTGAAAACAAGTGTGAGCGTTCTGCATCAATTTCTTATCACCTGTATATATTCGAATCGGACCAACATATGTGGTCTACAATTCTTTATATGATTATGAAGTGGAGATATTTGATCGAAGTATTTATACTTGATCCAAATATGTGATTGTCATGGATGACCGGATCTATAATGCAGTCCGTGCAAATGTGCTATCGACTAGCTCGCGCACGCAGCGAGTGATTGCTTTGTCTTCAGGGGAGTCTGAACTGTTGGCATCCGCTTCTGTGCTGAGCGATGCAATGCTTGTTCGTGAGTGCGTCAAGTTTGCGCTAGGGTTTGATGAGAGCCCGCTGATACAGCACCATGTTGACAGCACTGCTGCCTTGGGTGCGCTTAGGCGCCAGGGCGTGGGGAAGATCCGATATCTTTCCACCCGCATTCTTTGGCAGCAGCTACTTGTCAAGCAGGGCATTATAATTGCCAACAAGATATCCACGGACTACAATGTAGCAGACATTGGGACAAAGGGGCTGAGCCGTGCCCGCACATTGTTCCTCAAGCATCTGTTGCATGTGTATGATGAGGCTGAGGCACGCTATGTTGGTGAGGATGAAATGACTGCGCAAGTTGAGAAGGATGCAATGAAGGAAGCAGTGAGGCGTTTTCGTCAGGCCCACCATGGAGGCAGAGTTCCGAAGCAGCAGCTTCGGCAAATCATGATTGCCGCCTTGCTGTCCTTCCCTGCCGGTGCAGCCGCAACCGAAGTGAACTGTGCGAACGCCTTGAGCCTTCCCGTGCGCTATGGCAGCTACATCTTGATGACCTTTATCCTTTTGTGCACCATGCTCCTGCAAGGATGTCGCAGTGAGCAGCAGTGGGTTCAGGTTGTTATTAGTGTAGATTGGTCCGGGATCCTAGTTGCACTGATAGTCTTGGTTGGTCTTGAGTTAGTGTGCGTGCGCCTCGGAGTATCCCTTTTCCAGCATCTGTGGAGCTCCTGGAGGCAGGATGATGAATATGCGCATGCCACGGAAGAGCCAGCCTTGAGTGAAGCGTCTGAGCAGCCAGAGCCAGAAGATGATGAGTGTGACGATGGCCCGTCACAAGTCGATGGTTGCCGCTGTGATGCCACGGATGAGGTAGATCGCGACCCCGAGGCAGCGAGTAGCACAGATGATCAGGGATTCATGCGAGGGCAGCCGGGCCCAGCTGGACCAAGGTCTTATGAGCCCGAGCCGCTAGATGGAGACTTCACGGATGTGCAGAATGTGCCAGCAGCTGTGATCGGAGACCTTGATGATGATCTTGAAGCTAATGCTCATGATGCGCCTCAGGGGCAGGCCGAGCTAGCAGTGCAAGACTTAGTGCATGTGGACCCGCACATGTCATGGTTTGTTGCACCGATTGCAGGCCGCCGTGTGCATATCTTCAGGACGTGCCAAGGGCTGATGAATGCGTCAAGGGTGATCCGCATCACCGAACGTGAACGAGAAATGCAATGGCCGTACCGCAATTTCCCTGTGTGCTTCTACTGCCGCCACCGTGCGCAGGCCCAGATGCGACGCGAGAGAGATCCGCCAAGGATCTACGAGATCGGCTGATGTGTGCAGATCAGGTGCATGTGTATGTGACAAGGTGTGATCATGCAGACTCTTGAATTCTTGGAATGCACACTTGTGCGATGCTCATGATGACTTGACTTGTGTGCCAATTGGCATTTCCTTGAACTTGAGTGTGCCGTGCAGCTGCATGCTGCACTACCTGCGCCATTTTGGCGCCAATACTGTGATCCGGACCCAATAGTGAAAATCCGAATTCTGCAAGTCGTTATGATTGCAAGGATCTGAAACAAGATCCCAATCTCCACAGTGGATAGTGAGAGATCCACACGCAGTTTGAACCAGGTGCCAAAGGTACGAGGTTAGACAGGCAGAGTAGTTTCACAACGCCGATGTCAATGTGCATCGTGTACTCATGGACGTTGTGTGGAAACCTGCAGATGCGCTGAACTGTGTGAGCGAGTGCCTGGCCAGTGAAGCTTTGTTCTGATGCAGTTCATGTCACATGTGAGTTTTGGTAAAGTGTCGACTGCATTGCACATTTCGCCGAAACTTTGGCGGGGTGCAAAACTTGGTACCGATGTGCGCGTGCATACATTTCCTTTTGCGCACCAAATGTTTTCCTTTTGTGTACAGTATGTATGGCCAGGTATGTATCTTGTGCTCACATGGTGAAGTGCATATATCTGCAGGCGTTCGAAAGATCACAGAGAAAATTTCAGGTTCTCTTCAAGGGGGGGGCCTCGCAAGGTACCGATCTGTCAGCTCCCACTGCGAGTTAAAATGAAGACTGTGTCCGAGTGTTGCCTGCCGCATTTGATTATCAATTCGCAAATATATTTGTGATTGATTTTTCATATATCTCATTTATAAACAAGACGCAGAGAATAAGAAGAACTTCCTCCGAAGGAGGACGGATTTTTATTCTCAAGTCTTGTTTTCAACAACTTGGTTTTTCCAACCTTGGTTGTTTTCCATCCTTTTTCATGCCGAACTTTTCCCAAGCTCTTTTTTCCAGTCGCCTTTTCGGCTTCAGTTCGCTTTTCGCCCACCCTCCTCACCCTTTGGCTTTTCGCCTTTTTCCTTTTGCCAGTTTCACTCCTTGTTCTTTATGGCCTAACCCTGCCGTTGGGCCTCGCAAGGTACCGATCTGTCAGCTCCCACTGCGAGTTAAAATGAAGACTGTGTCCGAGTGTTGCCTGCCGCATTTGATTATCAATTCGCAAATATATTTGTGATTGATTTTTCATATATCTCATTTATAAACAAGACGCAGAGAATAAAAAGAGCGAAGAGAAAGAGAAAGTACGAGTGGAAGCAGAACCGTACAAACCCTCGGAAGAAGAAGGACTTGCTCATGAAGCAACACACCTACCTTTTGCTCATTGGTGTGAGTCATGCGTAGAAGCCAAGAGTAAGCAGGATCACGAAAAGAAGAATCCCGAAGCAGGAAAGGACTCAGTGGGAGTGCCTTATCCAATAATTCAGTTGGACTTTATGTTCCTACAAGGAAAGGACACACCAGCATTAGTTGGAATCTGTTCATGGACAAGGATGTCAGTTGTGATCCCTGTATCTGGAAAGCAGACGGAGAGAAAGACCGTGGAGAAAGTGTTGAAATGGGTACACAGTCTTGGACACTTGGAGGAAGTCGGATTTGTTGGAGATTCGGAAGAGGCAATGTTATCACTAATAGCTGCAATCGTGGAAACTCGAAGAAAGATGAACCGAAAAACACACGATCAAAACAGCAAGCCGTATCAGAAAGGAAGAACAGCAAGAGTGGAAAGGTTTATCCAGACGGTGAGGAACCAAACAGTTTGCTTGGTACGAGCAGCCGAAAGAAAGCTTGGTATAGAGATTCCCGAAGGCCATGCAGTGTGGGCCTGGGGATTGTGCCATGCGTCATGGTTGCTGAACAGGTACCACAGACACGCCGCGATAGGGTCAAACCCTTACGAAAGTGTCGTTGGTAGACCTTACCTTGGGAAGATTGCCCCATTCGGAGAGTATGTGTATGCGCTGAAGAAACCCGAGAAGAAAGGAACAGCGAATTGGATTGGAGGAATCTACCTTGGTAAGAACTCTCAGGATATGCACTTGGTCGGAGTTGAAGACGGAATCTTGGCAACAGGATCTGTAAGGCGAATCGCCACTGGATGGAGAAAGGAACCAGTACTGAAGCTGAGTGTAACTCCATGGAACCCCAAGAAGCCAAAAGTAACGTATACCAGACAGCCGTTACCAGCCCCAGCATTGGCAAGTATCGCAGAGGAAGAAGGAACAGCACAGGAACCCGTAGTTCGTGCGGAAGATCGAGGACAGTCCCAAGAGGAACAGGTCGAGGAACTGTTGGATCTGTTGGACACAAGCGAAGCCTCAAGCGGAGGCAGGGCCTCAAGTGGAGGCAGGGCCTCAAACGGAGGTATGACCAGCACGGGATCTAGTTCTCATTCCCGGAGTTCAAGTTCAATGCAGGACGCACCACCTGGAGAACCAGAAGGACGTGTCAGTGATGATACTTTGTTAGAAGACCTCAGGAAGAGAGCTGTAGAAGGAGGACAGGAAGTAGAAGGATCGCCGAAAAAGTCACGAGAAATGCCATCATCACCATCATCGCCCTCAAGAGGAATCTACCCGCCTTTGTTCGCAGGCA